GATCAGGTCCACTGGCGTCCTAACTCCCTGGAGCACAGAGCAACAGACAAGCCTTGCTCGCAGCACTGGGCTTCCTGGTTGCTGCCCTCTCGGCAGCGATCTATCTTCAGACTCACCGTCTGCTGGGTGCCGTTCTTTGGTAATTTTTTTCAATTGGACTTTCACCAGCCCTATCAGGCTGCGCAGACGGTAAGAGTGGCCAAGGTTATTGGGCAAGAGGTATTCACAAAAGAACTGGGAACAATCAGGGAGCTCTGATGGTGTAGTTCAGAGAGACCCAGAGGCCTCAGCTAAGCTCTCAGTTTGATTCCACCATGCATCTCAGAGAAAGATGATCAAACTCTATTGTGATTTACACCCTCCAAAAATCTTACAGCTAGAATCCACACAGGGATCTGCTGAAGAAAGATGGGAAATCTATTCTCATGCACATTACAGCCCTGAAAATACCCTGGAAGGGTTGCTACAGATAGGTCTGATACTAAGACAATGAGTTTGGGAGCTTTGGTGATTTGGGCTACTAAAGATCAGATCAGTTCAAATCCACTTTTGGCCTAGTTGGAGGAAGATGGAAAATCTCCTCCCAAGTGATTTATACAATCTTGGAAACATGCTGAAAGAACATCTATGAGTCAGTGCTGATTCAGTGGCAATGATTGACTTTTATGTCTTGAGGGAGCATTGGTGGAGCTCCTCAGGGAATTGCACTGTTAAAGTCAAAACCTCTCTGGTTATTGGAAGCTTTCTGTTAGGAGAAAGTTGGACAATCTCCTCTTGTGCTATTGAAACTCACTGGAGGATCAGCTATTGGTTCAGACTCCACAGGAATGAATGAGCGGGTGAGTGATGTCTTTCTGATGAATTGACCTTCTAGCATTATGTAATATACTCATTGTCCCTGGTAATTTTATTTACTTTGAAAACTCTTCTATCTGACATTGGTGTGATGTTGTTGTTGTGTGCCAAGTCAGAATGATCCATAGCTGAACCTCCAAGCAGGTTTTCAGAAGCAGTAAGTCACATGGGAGGAAATTGTCCATCCTTCTTCTGCAAAACAGCTGGTAGATTCAAAACACGTGCCTTTGGGGTTGCAGTGAAGCTTCTTACCACTGGCCCACCAGAGCTTCTGACAGTGATATCCTGCAGCTGTGGCTGTTACTGTTATGTGCAAGTTAGTCAGTTGTGATTCAAAGTGACCCTGTGCACAATAGCTCTGAACTCTGCCCTATCCTGAGCCAATCTCATTGTCTCCAAACACCTGCCTCTATTACACAAGTCACAGAGTTAATTCATCTTATCCAGGGACTCCCTTTCCTGTGTAGCCTCTCTACCATTCCAAGCATGACATCCTTCTCCAAGGACTGGTCCCTCATGACCATGTGCTCAAAGTATGTGAGATAGAACTTCAAAATCCTTGAGAGCAACTTTTTACTCTCTCCAGGACAAACTTGTTTGCTCCCTTGATAGTTCATGGTATGTTCAATACTCATCTCCAGCACCGTAATTCAAAGGCATCAATTCTTCTTCTGTCATCCTTTGTCACTGTCCAGCTCTCTGATGCATGGAGTGTATTTGTGAAGACCATGGCCTGGATCAGGCACACCTTAGTCTCTAGACTGACATTTTTGCTCTTCAGCACTCTGGAGAAGTCCCTGAGAGCAGACTTTCCTAATCCAATTTGTCTTTTGATGGTTGCTGGTGCCAAAAAATGTTGATTGTGGAACCAGGCAATCTGAAATTTTAAACAATCTCAATCTCCTATCCATCTATCATGGTGCTGCCCATTGGTCCAGTGGTGAGAATCTTTCTTTCCTTGATTTTTATCTTTGATCCATATTGAAGACTACAGTTCTTGAACTTCTGTAGCAAAAGCTTCAGTTCCTTCTCAGTTTTGCCAAGTGAAACAGGTGATGGATAGACGAAGATATATGTTTGTCAGAGTTCTTAAAACAATATTGCTGTAATGAGAGTGAATTTTACTGTATGAAAATTACACACCAAGTATAAACTCTACAAAAACTCAAACTCATTCACATGTAGTTTGAACTGACTCACACTTGACCTTACTATTGGCTTTCCAGGGCTGTAAATCACACGTGAGGAGACTCCCCATCTCTTTTCAGAGAAGTTCAGAGATCTCTGAATTAGTAGAAAATACCTCATAACATATGCAACTAGAGCTCTCTAACTTGGCATAAAAGAAAAAAACAAAACAAACTGAAGATAGTATTTGCAATTTATATAGCAAAGAACTTTCTTCTCTAATATCTAAAGTAATCTAAGAAATGTTTATGTAAAAGATCAATAACAACAAAAATTGAAAGATAAATAATAAGAAATTGTTAATACCTCCGACTATGTTTTAAGTAATCATGCATCTATACAGAAACACTAACAAGGAAGCTGTTGTGAGAAGAGATAATAAAAGCCTGAAAGATTAAGATGAAAAATCGGTAAATGTTTAGAAGATAAGAATGGCAAAACCATAAAATAAACAAAAATCCCTCTACACCCAACAAATACAGGGTAAAATGTATTGTTAAAGACATTGCCCTGCCATGACTGGCATAAGTAAATTACCAAAGGACAATTTTGCTATAAGACTTAATGCTAAAAGCTAAAGAATTTGACATATAGACTCGATCTTGGAATGTTAGCAAAGATGAAAAGAGGGTAACAAAAAATAAATACACATTTTTAGAAGTCAGTTACAGAAGTTGAATTATTTAAAAGAATGGAACCATTTATAAAAAAACCCTTCATTTAACTAAACAGCATATTTAAATAAAAACTAAGTAAATAGCACCAACAGATCCATCTGAAAAATGTAAATGGAATACTATATGGTGTGTTATTTTATGTGTTGCTTTAATTAATTGTGTATATTTTTGTATTCAGACTCTCACCCAAAGCTGCTGTGGGACGTGAACTAATGTTGTTTGTTGTTGTTGTTATGTGCCGTCGAGTCGCCTGCGACTCATAGTGACCCTATGTACAACAGCCCTAAAATCCTCTCTGTCCTGTGCCAATCACACTGTCTCTGACACTCCCATCCCAATTATCCCAGTCACTGAATCAATCAACCTCATAGAGGGCCTTCCTCTCCTACACCGTCCCTCCACCCTCCCAAGCATGATGTCCCTCTCCAAGGACCGGTCTCTCCTCACTACATGTCCAAAGTAAGTTAGACGGAGCCTTAGAATCCTTGCCTCCAAGGAGCCACCCAGTTTAACCCTCTCCAGGACAAATCTATTTGTTTTCCTAGCAGTCCATGGTATTCTCATTACTCTTCTCCAGCACCACAGCTCAAAGGCATCAGTTCTCCTTCTATCCTCCTTGGTCATTGTCCAACTCTCTGATGCATAACAGGTGATTGCAAAGACCATGGCCTGTATCAGACGCACCTTAGTCTCCAGAGAGACACCACTGCTCTTCAGCACTTTGGAGAGGTCCCTAACAGCAGACTTTCCCATGGCAATGCGCCTTTTAATTTCCTGGCTGCTGGTGCCAAGACTGTTGACTATGGAGCCAAGCAAACTAAAGCTGTGTACAATCTCAATCTCTTCACCATCCATCCTGATGCTGCCGATTGGTCCAGTGGTGAGAATCTTTGTCTTCTTGACATTGAGCCTCAATCCATATTGTAGGCTGCAGTCCTTGACACTCTACAGCAGGCGCTTTAGGTCCTCTTCAGTTTCAGCAAGCAGGGTTGTGTCATCCACATAACGCAGATTGTTGATAAATCGTCCACCAATCCTGACCCCACATTTTTCCTCATAGAGCCCAGCCTTCTGGATAATCTGTTCTGCATATAGGTTGAAAAGGTATAGAGATAGGATGCATCCCTGGCGTACGCCCTTTCCAATTTTGAACCATGCAGTGTTCTCTTGCTCTGTTCTGACGACTGCCTCCTGGTCCAAGTATAAGTTTCGCACTAGAACGATCAAGTGTTCTGGGATTCCCATTCTTCTCAGAGTCAGCCACAGTTTGTTATGATCTACATAGTCAAATGCCTTTGCAGATATCTAAGCAGTGTACTGAATGGAAGATATATAAAGAAGTCCAACAGGTCCATCTGGAAAAAAAAATGTAGACAAAATCCTATATAATGTGTTAATTTCTGTCTCCCTTATTAGACTGCTAAGAGAACAAACAAGGATTCTGAAAATTCATCTGACATACTTTGGGCATGTTGCAAAGGAGGGACCAGTTCTTGGAGAGGGACATCATGTTTGGGAGAGTGGAGGGACAGTACAAAAGAGGAGGACCCTTGATGAGGTGGATCGATTCAGTGATTGAGGTAGTGGGAGTAGATGTGTTAGAGACAGTGAAGTCGCCATAGGATAGAGCAGGGCGTAGGGTCACTAGGAGTTGCAAGCGATGACACATAACAACAACAACAACAACATTTTGGTCAACTTTATTTTTGTAACATTAATCTATGTCACTAAGTATCAGAGAGGAATGCTGTGAGGCCCATTTCTCAGGACTAAGTACATTATCTTCCAGGAATACAGTGCCTGGTGATGATGCAGTGCTCACATACTTTGGGCATGTTGTTAGGAAAGGCCATCCCTGAGAAAGGTGGAGGGCCAGCGAGAGAGAGGAAGCTCCTCAGGGAGGTGGAATGACAGGGAGATTACTCCTCAAGTACTGACAGAAAAGATGAGGACACGGTTCAGATTTGTTGTTCATAAGGTCGCCATACCATGGCATCTAACAGCTATCTAGAAAGTTACATCACGTGGAGAAGCAGAGAGCTGCAGATGGAGGTTCTGAGTTGGGCTGGACAATTAATTGAAAGAAGCTCAGCAGTGCTGGAAAAGGGGTGTGTGAGCCTCATTCCCCACCCCGTCCACACCCCCGCCCCGCCCACAAGCTCTCTGGAAAGGAAGGCTGCCAACAAACTGTGCTGGGAGAGAGGCGGGACTTGGTACTGGACCTTGTTAGCTGGGACCTTAACCCTCTCAGATCACCTAAGAGCAGACAGGCTTCCAGCCATGCTGGCCGCGCTGGGCTCCCTGGCTGCTGCCCTCTGGGCTGGGCTCCATCTCCGGACTCTCCTGCTAGGCACCTTCGTCTTTCTGTTCTTTGTTGATTTCCTCAAAAGACGCCGCCCAAAAAACTACCCACCCGGCCCTCCGAGGCTGCCTTTCTTTGGCAATTTCTTTCAGCTGGACTTTCAACAGCCCTCTTGGGGCATACAGAAGGTAAGCGTGGCCAAGATTACTGTACACAAGGTATTCAGGAACTAAGTGGGAAAGCAGGGGCCCACTCCATAGAGTTGTTATGAGTTGATCTGACCCTAAGGCATTGAGTTTGGGAACTCTGGTTGGCATAGTTCATAGAGATTAGGCTGCTGTTCCAAAGATCAAATTCACTGGAATCCAGTAGTGGCCGTGTGTGAGAAAGATGAGCAATCTCCTCCCAAGCGATTTCTATAGTCTTGGAAACCCACTAAAGGGTCGGCTATGAGTCAGGGCTCCACAGCAGAGACTTTGACCTTTATGTCTTCTTGAAGGTGTTCCTGCTGGTGCAGTCCACAGGGAATTGCATCGCTAATCAAACTTCTCTAGTGGTTCGAATCCACCAGGGGCTCCTCAGGAGAATCTCACTGGAGGATTGCTATGAGTCGGGTCAGACTCCACAGCAATAACTGAATGAGAGTGTAATGTCTTTTTGCTGACTTGACCTTGATGGCATTATGCAAATATACTCTTTGCCACTGATTATTTTATTTGTTCTGAAAATTACTTTATTTGATAGGGCAGGGTTCAGATCTATTCTCTATAGGGTACCATGTGTTATTATGATATGGACTCTATGGCTCTAACAACTTCCAATATGGCAACTCTGCCTGCCTTGCTGTTTTGCCTGGTGTATGCTTTATCTGTGTGTGTGTGTGTGTGTGTGTGTGTTTGTGTGTGTGTGTGTGTTCAATTAAGGGATTCTGAATTATGGAGGACAGGATAGTGATGGGGAACTATAAAATAGCAATAATCAAGTCTGCATACAGTAACAAAGTCTTTTCTTCCACAATTCCTACCAAACTGGGGAAGTTTTACTATGAAAATAAAAAATCCAAAACCTACACCTCTTACCAATCACAGCTCTTATCTGGATGAGCTTCTGCCCTAAAATAAAGCAGTGAGTCTGTATGAAATGTACCATCACCTCCCTCTCACTGACACACTGACAGATGCCAGTCTCCTGTACGTTGAGACAAGAAATCAGTGCAGTGGTGTCTGTTCTCATAGTCAGTTCTTTGCCTGCCATCCTGTGTACCTTGCACATTGGGACTTTGTGGTTTGTTTTTTGGATGTGTTTATTTCTGAATTATTATTTTTCCCCATTTCAAAAACATCTAATTCCCTTAAAAAGGAATTCAGTGTGTCTTAATAACCAAATCTCTATTCCCAACTTTGCTCCAGCTCCTGTTTTTGTTGTTATATGTGCCATTGAGTCGCTTGCGACTCATAACGACCCTATGTACAAGAGCTCTAAACGCCGTTCTATTCTGTGCCAACCTAGCCATCTCAAATGCACTCATTCCCACCACTCCAGTCACAGAATCAATCCATCTCATTGAAGGTCTTCCTATCCTTCACCGCCCCTCCACTCTGCCAAACATGATGTCCCTCTCCAAGAACCAGTCCCTCCTTGCAACATGGTCAGAGTATGTCCATTAATAAACATTTTGTTTTTTTGTTTCTATAATGATTCTGTGTATAAACTTTTCCTTAGCTTTTTATAAAACTGACCTTACACCATTATAGTCTTTTGTGACGTATGTCACCCAGCAATGTTTATTCTAGGTTCATCCATGCAGTACAGTATTTCACAAATTCTTGAGAGTTTTCTAGTGATGTCTAATACTCCATTGTGGGAACACAATATAATTCCTTTAGCCATTGGGTCATCGATATACACTTCAGTTGTTTCAACATGGTCGTGTGTGTGCCAATTTCTGTCACAGCTCCCATCTCATCCTCACTAACTCTGCTGTCCTTTAAGCCCCAGAGTTGTAAGTACTGTGTCAGTTCATCTTTTTGAGGTTCTTTCTCTCTTTAGCTGACATGTAAGTATTCAACTAGAGCTTATTGTTTTTCAGTTTGTGAACAAATATGGAAACATGGTTAGCATGGACATTGGACTCTTAAATACCATTACAGTAACTGGATTGCCCTTAATAAAAGAAGTCCTCACAAACCCAGACCATGGTGTGGTGAATCGTCCTTTGAGTCCTTTACGCAAACATATGTTTAAGAAACATGGTAAGTTTCATAACTAATGTAACACTTCTCTGATGCTGTTTTAGGCTCTTAAAAGTGTCTTTATGCCTATAATTCTTAACACCTAGAAAACCAGCTCATAAAATTGATGCTGCTGGAGGGAGCATAATTTCTGTTTCTGAATTTTAAGCATCTGCAGTGAAGATTGGGCACTGGGAGCCCTAATGCCAGGGATTAGGATTTGAAACTATTTCCCAATTCCAGACTTCTTCCCACCGAGAAATGGTCATGGATCTGCTGCTTACTACTTCCTTATTCTGCCTCGAGCTCTTTACGCTTCATCCTTAAGGACCTGACAGTCAAGTAATCTCCAGTCTTTCAATCTGTCATAACCCAAGAAGCATCAATACAGGCTGTCATGAATATTTTATATCATTGTTATGAAGTAGATGTAAACATTTAAAAATTGACATGAAAACCTCTAATTCATTTCTTTATCACATCACTCTCTTTTCAGATGCTTCCCAATTCTGATTTTAAATAGTTCATCTATTCAATGCATTTATGAATTGCTTGATATGCTAAGTACTAAACCAGGCACAAAGAATACAATTATGAATAGACAAAAAAACCCCAAAAAACAACCCTGTCTATATGTAATGTCCATTCTTTCAGGGAAAGGCATATTACTAACTGGTTCCAATTAAAAGTAAACAATGTTATAAAAATAAGAGCAATACAGACTTAGGAGGGGCATTGTATCTAGTATTGTGTTAAGAGAACTGGCTTGAATCAGGCGCACCTTACTCTTTATACTGACTTTGTTGCTCTTTAGCACTTTGAAGAGGTCTTTGACAGCAGGTTTTTCCCAATACCACATGGCTTTTGGTTTCTTGACAGCTAGTACCATGAATATTAATTATAGATCTCATGAGATAAATCATTAGCAGTTACAATCTTTTCTCCATCCGTCATGATTGTGCCTATCAGCCCAGTGGTGAGGATTTATATTTCTTTGATGTTGAGATTTAACCCATATTGAAGGCTGTAGTCTTTGATCTTCATTGAGTGCTTTAAGTCATCTACACTTTATGCAAGCAAGTTTGTATCATGTGTATAACAAGGGTTGTCAATGAGTTTTTCCATTATCCTGATACCATTTTCTTCTTGATAAAGTCAAACTTCTGAAATTATTTGTTCAGCATACAGATTGACTAAGCAAACAGATTAAGAGTCAATTTCAGGAATTATATGTACACTTGGGCAAGAGAAATGATGACAGAGATGAGACCAGATTGTTGGCAATAAGGATGCACAACTTCAAGATAACCAGCAGCAAATACAGGAAGATAAAATGAGCTCGAAATCCCACTGAGTGGATGACTGAAAATACTTGACGAAGAACAAAGTGTTTAGTTTGGACTGGTGTGAAATTACACAGAGAACATCACAAATTCAACATTGGAGATGCTGATTTAAAAATGGGTCAAGCTGGCAAAGTCAAGAAGATTAAATATAGATAGATATATAGATAGATAAACATATATATAAATATTATATATATGTATATATAAATTGTGTGTGTGTGTGTGTGTGTGTGTGTGTGTGTAAAATCCCAAATAGAGAAAGGCCAGGTAGTCAAAAATACATCCATATTTTATTCAGAGCATCTGTTTTAATTATCCTAAATATGTACTTAAGGAATAATTCTTACATTTCTTAATAGGAAATACGAAATTTAAGTTGGACAAAGCACAGGAATAAGTCTAGGAAATCATGTCATGTTATTTCTTTGACTAAACCTTTTCAAACTTGTTATAAAGGAGATAGATGTCATTATTATGAAATCAATGAGCCAATCTTTCTTTTTTCCTTTCTATCACTTCTGCTCCACCTTCCTTACCACTCTATTTCTTACTTTATTGAGAAAATTGACGCATCAGCAGAAAACTTCTGTAAGCTTTCTCCACCAAATTTACATAAAACTATCTACTAGTAACTACAGTCCAGGAACCTTGGTGGTCTAACCAATAAGGAGTTGTGCCACTAAGTCAAAGACCAGACCTCTCTGGCAGTTTAAATCCACCAGCACCTCTGAAGGAGAAAGATGGGAAGTCTCTTCCTGTGCAATTTTCAGTCTCAAAAACTCAGTGGAGGCCTACTTCACAGCTGTGAGTTGACTGCTTTGTTGTTTTTTTAAAAAGTACAACCCCTCTTTCTTCAGTTGCCGCTAAGGTGCTCGGTCCTTCCGAGGAAGCTAAGGCCGCGTTAGGGTGAGGCCCTCACTTCATCCGGCGACTAGCACCGCGTCCGGCAGCCTTCCGCCTAGTACCACAGCACTATGGCCTCCGTCTCTGAGCTCGCCTGCATCTACTCGGCCCTCATCCTGCACGACGATGAGGTGACAGTCACGGAGGATAAAATCAATGCCCTCATTAAGGCAGCCGGTGTCAACGTTGAACCTTTCTGGCCTGGGCTGTTTGCAAAGGCCCTGTCAAATGTCAACATTGGGAGCCTCATCTGCAATGTGGGTGCTGGTGGACCTGCCCCAGCGGCCGGGGCTGCACCAGCTGGAGGACCTGCTCCCACGACTGCTGCTGCTCCAGTTGAGGAGAAGAAAGTGGAAGCAAAGAAAGAAGAATCTGAAGAGTCTGATGATGACATGGGATTTGGTCTTTTTGACTAAACTCCTTTTGTAACATGTTCAATAAAAAATCCTGAACTCTTCAGTGCTGTTGAAAAAAAAAAAAAAGTACAACCCATATTTTAATACTCTTCTTTTATACCCATTGATACAGATGAACTTTCCACACGCATATGAAGCAATTAAAAATATTATAGCCTGAATCAAGCACACTACAGTCTTCAGGCACACCACAGACTTTAAAGGGATATCCTTGTTCTTTTAAAGAGAGCAACTTTGCGTAAGCCAATATGTGAATTTAATTTCCTCATCCCCACTTTCATGAGTGTTAAGTGTGGATCCAAGTAGAATGTAATCTTTGACAGCTTTAATCTTTTATCCATTTCTCATAATGTTGCCTATTGGTTCACTTGTGAAGCTTTTGTTGTTGGAAGCAGCATTGACTTCCTAAATCATAGGCCTCTGGAAACTCTATGAACTTTGAGAAATGACAATAGTTATAGAAAGGCTTCAGGTCTTTTGTTCATAGGGTTACCATGAGATATGCTCAACTCCACAACAATCAACAATAACAACAATATATTACATAAGCCAGGTGCCTCTCTTATTCTTTGAGGATAGATCCTTATGCCTTCTTTAGGCTGGCATGGGGAAGGATGTTTAATCTATGGAGAAATTAAACTAGAAAGACTCCAAATTAAATGATACAGCCTTCCTAACATCCCCACACTGTAAAGAAAATGCTCCATTTAGAAATCAGAATGCTTTAGTAAAAATGTGTGCTTTAAACACACACACACACACACACACACACACACACCCCAATATGTACATGAATAATTGAATGAAAAATTAATTTTTTTGTGTGTAAACTTGAGCTCAGCTTGGAAGGAGGAGTGGCATCGACTTCCCTAATAGCTTGCCTCTGGAGACCCTAAGAACCTGGAGAGAAGATGAAAGGCACCCAAGCGTCGAGGACCCTCCTTCATAGGGTCGCTATGCAACTCGATGGCACTTAACAACAACAACAAACTTGAGCTCAGATTGTTATTGTTGTTATGTGCCATCCAGTCGCCTGTAACTCATAGCAGCCCTGTGTACAACAGCCCTAAACCCTGCTGTATCCTGTGCCAATCTCTGACACACCTTCCCCCAACCCCAGTCATTGAATCAATCCATCTTATCAAGGGTCTTCCTCTCTTGTGCTGTCCCTTTACAAGGATTGGAACCTCCTTTCAGTATGTCCAAAGTAAGTCAAACAAAGCTTCAGAATCTTGCTTCCAAGGAGCAGCCTGGTTTCACCCTCTAGGGATATTAAAGCTAATGCTAAATGGATCTTGGTTGAAAGCACGGAGTACCAGAGGAATGTCTATCTGTGTTTCATTGACCATGCAAAGGCATTTGACTGCATGGACCACAACAAACTGTGGTTAACTCTGAGAAGAATGGGAATCCCAAAATACTTGATCATGTCTATGAGAAGCCTATATTTGGACCAGGAGGCATTTGTCAGTATAGAGCCGGGAAACATTGCATGGTTCAAAATTGGAAAGGGTGTACGCCAAGGATGTATCCTATCTCCATACCATTTCAATCTATATGCAGAACAGACTATCCAGGAGACTGGGATCTATTAGGAGGAATGTGGCATCTGGGTTGGAAGAAGACTCATAAAAAATCTTCATTATGCAGATGACACAACCCTGCTTACTGAAACTGAGGAGAATCTGGAAGGCTTGCTCCTGAAAGTCAAGGATGCAGTCTTTAATATGAATTGGAGTTTAACATCAAGAAAACAAGGATCTCACCACTGGGCAGATTGGCAGCATTATTATAGATGGTGAAGAGATTGAGATTGTTAACGGCTTCAGTTTGCTTGGCGCCACAATTAACAATCTTGGTACCAGCAGCCAGGAAATTAAAAGATGAATTGCATTGGGAAAGTCTGCTGTGAGAGACCTCTCCAGAGTACCAAAGAGCAATGATGTCAGTCTGGAGACTAAGGTGTGTTTGATTCAGGGTATGAGCTCTGCAATCATTTGATATGTGTCTGAGAGCTGGACAATGACTAGGGATGATAGGAGAAGTGATGCCTTTGAGCTGTGGTGCTGGAGAAGAGTATTTAATATATCACGGACTAAGAGAACAAACAGGTTCATCCTGGAGAAGGTGAAACCAGGCCGTTCCTTGGAGTCAAGGATTCTGAAGCTTGGTCTGACCTACTTTGGACATGATCAGTCTCATTTGGAGAGATCAGTCCTTGCAGAAGAACTTCATGCTTGAGAGGGTGGAGGGAGAATGCAGGAGAGGAAGACCCTCTATGAGATAGATTAATCCTGTGACTGGGGTAATGGGGGCAAGTGTGTCGGAGACAATGATATTGACACAGGCAAGAGCATGGTTTAAGGATGTTGTACATAGAGATAGAGTTGCAATGAGTCACTTATGACTCTACAGCACATTACAACATCAACATTATTCAAATATATGCGCCAACAACTAACACCAAAGAGAAGGAGATTGAGGGTTTCTTCCAACTTTTGAACTATGACATGGGAGCTCCTCATGAGAGCTTCCTTATTAATAAATGAATTCCTAGTGGTTGACAAAAAACTGCTCTTAAACATACCAATGTTACTAATATCCTTGCAAATTTATCTTCTGTGTTTCATATTTCTCATCACTAAAATAGCAATAATTATATCTGCTCCATACAGATACTCTGCATACTAAACCATGTAATGCATGAAAACAGGTTGTAAAGTGTTGATTCTGCAAGCATTCAGCAAATTTTACCTATTTAATTAATTACTTTGGGATAATTTTTCTGAATAGACCTTAAGTGCTTAATTTCCTTTTCATGCCCCACAAGTGATAACACATCCACATATTATTTTTCAGACGAACACATTATAGAATCAGAACACATAAAACTGGTTTGTTTCTGTTTTTTCCCTCTAGGAGTGGTCATGTCCAGTGGTCAGGAGTGGAAGGAGCAAAGACGGTTTGCCCTGATGACACTCAGGAACTTTGGTTTAGGAAAGAAGAGCTTAGATGAACGCATTCAGGAGGAGGCCCATTATCTTGTTGAAGCGATACAAGAAGAGAAAGGTGAGTGTTTCCTGGGAAAGCTTCAGAAGCTTTAGGTTTGTTCATTCATGGAAGAAATCCTTTTTCAGTAACCAGGTTTCTCTCTTGTGGTTATCACTGTGCTAAGTGGTAAAGCTCTAACAGTGCACACCTAACTATAAACTTAGCCTTTATGGAATGAATCATAGAAAGATAGAAATTAAATACATTACTGAATTTAAACCCTGTCCATGAATATAACTCCACAAGCATTGTCTGAGTATTGCTGTGTGTCAGATTCTACTCAGGATGTTGTGACCAAAAGCCTCAAACAAATCAATCTGAGGACTCCTTCTCTCCCTTCCTCTGCCTCCAGGACAGCCTTTTGACCCTCACTTTAAGATCAACAATGCCGTTTCCAATATCATCTGCTCCGTTACCTTTGGGGAGCGCTTTGAGTACGATGATGCTCGGTTTCAGGAGCTGCTGAAGTTGATGGATGAAGTCACACATCTGGAAATTGGATTTTGCTGCATTGTAAGCAGTTATCTTTCCATAACTTTGTTAAAGACATTGGGGCTTCTGTGAATCTCTGAAAGTGTTGGGGCGTGCTCCCCAAAGGGGAAGTCCTGCGTGGTTTGTGCTCACAGACACACCGAAAAACTGATCTGGAGACAAACGAGAGAACATTAGTTTATTGAGACAGGGCACTTAAGGATGGAGAGGAGGAATGGGAGGGCAGCAGTTCAGTGGAGGCAAGCTGGAGAAATTAATGCTGAAGATGAGCAAAAGAAGCTGTGTTTTACTCCCCTACACACACAATCCCCGGTACGAAGCAAAATCAAGACTTACACAGACTAGTGGGGGAAATTGTAGCAGTGCACAAGCATTAAGGGAATAAACTTGGCACCTGCTTGCCCTCATTCTGAGAAGAAAACAGAAAAAAACCAAGTCTAATAAAGCTCAGCCAGTTTAGCATCAGTATAGCCATTGTTAGGTGTTCATAGGATATACCATACACTCCACCCTAATGCCCTATGTGGATCTCACAATCTCTTCACCAATCTTCTGTGATGTTCCTCCAGTCCAGTCTTTGGAAAGTTGCAGTAGTAGGCCACAATGATAGTAAACGCTACAGCAAAGTATAGCTCCGAAGCACAATAAGACCCTTCAAATTCCATTGTCTTTAGCTGAGGTGAATTACCACTGGAGTCCTATAGCTGGAAATATAGGGTGTGCTCTACACACCCAACAGTCTGATGTATTTATCTCTTCAAGGATTATAGCAGCCAAGCTAGCAAAACATTCCCTTCCACACTATGTGTGAAAAGACAAAGTAGTTATAGGCATCAGAAGGCAAGTCATATGCCGCAATCAAGCAGTAGTATTGGATCAGCTGAGGATAGTTCCTGGATAGTGTCTCTCCCCAGGTTTACAAATCAAATGTTTTGCCCTGTAAATTTTTCTGAGTTATTAACTCTAATATAATTTAAAGAGGAAGGAGCTCTTATACTCTGTAAATATAGGACCAGGGACCCCTGAGATGCGGTATCCTTCCTGGGATTATAGATGAGAGACCTAGGAGGAGTTGGCAAAAGCCACAGATATTTGCAAACCCTTTTCTTCTTTTTTCCCCTAATTTTAAGATCTTTATTCATTTTATTTCCTGGTGTAAATTTTTCTTTTTTAGAAAGAATTTTTATTGTGATTTTTTTTTTTTTTGGCAGTATGATTGTGTTTAATCATCCAGCAACATCAAGCCCGGCCCATTGTTTGCAAGTTTCTGCAAAAAACACAGCCTGCAATCATATGGGTCATTCCCCTGATGGGTCTGACTCTTTGTAGGACCTTCTACCACATTTTCTTACTGACCTCAAAAGACCATTGAGGAATTGGGGAACTTAGATACTAATGGAGCTGTTAATATTATATTAACATTATAGATTTATATTACTGGGTGAGAATTTATGACTGTTTTTTTTGTTTGTTGTTTTTAAATTTTTTTTATTATTAAATTTTATTAGTTTTAATGAACATTTACAGGGATTTTGGGTTTTCATTCCTTCATTGCTGCACCATTCTCTCTACCCTCCTCCCCAGTTTGTTCTTCTTCCCCACCATCCGAATGTCTGTTTTAATTATCCAGTTGCCACAGTGCTTGTCAAAGTCAGTTCTGATTAATCTCCTTTGTCGGTGTGTCCTTTGCCATTCCCTATTACTCCTCCCTGAGAGAGAGTTCACCCTGATTCATAAGGAAAAGGGGATGGCGTATTCTCTTAGCTACTTCCTGCTGAAAAGGGATGCTGTGGGTTTCAGGGTGAAGATCTTCTCTCACTACTCTAAAGGGCCCCTTTGGCAGTAGGAAACACATAGACTATTATGGAGATTGATTTTGGAATTTAGATGCACTCTTATTGATTGTGCTTGGCCGTACATGTTCATATCCTTGAAGATGTATCATGGGGGTGTTGCAACCTAGAAGACACAAATTTGACTAACAAGTTATAAGTACATGAGTCAAAAATTATGGAAAAGTAAAAGAAAGGATTCTTTCATTGTTTTACAAACCCTCCCCCAGGTCCCCTCCACCATGCAGCCCTCGCTCTAGTCTCCTGTGATGACAGAAATACCCAGTTACATCTCTCTTTTAAACGGTTCTCTCCCTCCTCTGTTTCAGTGCAGTATACATTATTGAACCCATCTTACTCAGTCTCTCTCCAACCCCAAGGACAGTCCCATTCTACAACAGTGGCATCATGTAATATTTGTCCTTTTGTGACTGGGATATTTCACTCAGCATAATGTTCTCCAGAGTCAACCATTTTGAATAATATTGCATGAGTTCCTTGTTTTTTAATGCAGCATAGTATTCCATTGTGCGAATATACCACAGCTTCTCTAGCCATTCGTTTGTTGATGGGCACTTAGGTTGTTTCCAACTCCTTGCTATTGTGAACAAAGCTGCAATAAACATGGGTGTGCATATATCTGCTTGGATGTCAGCTATGGTCTCTTCAGGGTATATTCCCAGTAGTGGAATTGCTGGGTCAAATGGTATCTCTATTTGCAACTTTTTGAGAAAGCGCCATACTGCTTTCCACAAGGGTTGCACCATTTTACACTCCCACCAACAGTGAATCAGGGTTCCAGTTTCTCCACAACCTCGCCAACATTTGTTGCTTGATGTGACTATGTTGACCTAAGGCTTCTGATTAGAAAGGTGTTATTTGTGTGTGTGTGTGTGTGTGTGTGTGTGTGTGTGTGATTTAAGGGAAGTATACAGAAAACTTGGATTTCCACTCTTTCATTGTTGCACATTTTCCTCCATATCCCGCACGCCTGTCTGCTTTCCTCTTAAAAATGTTCATTCAAAATGAAAAAAAAAATTCATTCATTTTTTTGGTTGCAATATTACCTCCTCCCCCATCCCAGTCCACTTTGCTATGCATCTCTTATTCTGCACTGTTGTCATGCAAACAATGCCTAAAAATATATTTCTTTTAAACAGTTATTTCCCTCATCTGTTCGAATTCAGTGCTCATTATTGATCACCTCTTTTCTCAGTTTCCCCCGAACCCCATGTCAGTCCTGCTCTACAACAGTGGCATTATGCAGTATTTGTTCTTTTGTGACTGAGATATTTCACTCAGCATAATGTCCTCCAGGTCACCCATTTTGTATAATATTTTATTTGTTCTTTTTTTTTTAGCATTGCATAGTAGTCCATTGTGTGAATATTTCACAGCTTCTCTATCTTTTCATTTGTTGATGGACCTCTGGGTTGCTTCCATCTCTTGTGAACAAGTCAGCAATAAACATAAGTGTGCATATGTATATCTGCTTGGGTGGCAGCTCTGGTTTCTTTGGGATATATTTCCAGTAGTGCAATTACTGGGTCAAATAGTATTTCTATTTCCAGCTTTTCTGAGAAAAGACCATACTACCCTCCAAGATGATTGCACCATTTTACACTCCCACCAACAGTGAATAATTGTTCCAATTTGTCCACAACCTTGACAGCATTTGTTGTTTGCTGTTCTGTCGAACGTTGCTATTGTTACTGGAGTGAGATGATATCTCATAGTTGTTTTAATTTGCATCTCTTTTAGAGCTATGGATTTTGAAAATTTCTTTATGTGTTTGTTTGCCATCTGAATGTCTTCTTTGGAGAAGTGTCTGTTCATGTCCTGTGCCCATTTTGCAACTGGATTGCTTACCTTTATCTTATTGAGGTGCTGGAGTATTCTATAAATTTTAGATATAAGTCCCTTATCAGACATGTCATTACCAAATAACTTTTCCCAGTTTATGTTGTTGTTGTTGTTGTTGTTATGTGTCATTGAGTCACCTGGAACTCATAGCAACCCAATGTACAGCAGCCCTAAACCTTGTTCTATCCCTTTCCAATCTTATTGGCTCTGACACTCCTATCTCCATCACCCCGTGACTGAATCAATCCATCTCATCGAGACTCTTCCTCTTCTGTGCTGTCCCTCCACCCTCCCAAGCATGATGTCCCTCTCCAAGGACTGATCATGTCTTGCAACATATCTAAAGTATGTCAGACAAAGCTTCAGAACCCTTGCTTCCGAGGAGTCTGTAGCTTTCCTTTTTACCATATTAGAGAAGGGTTTTTTATATGTATAATAGGGATTTGATTTTTTGAAGGTCCCATTCATCTATTTTATTCTCTCCTGGTTGTAGATTTTTCAGGATGCTTGGAAGATTATTGATGTTGTGGATTAGGGATTCTAGAGTTCTTCCAAGCTTTTCTTGGATGAAGTTTATAGTCCTTGGCTTTACTCCCACATCCTTGGTCCACCTTGAATTGGTTTTTGTGTACGGTGTGAGGTGTGGGTCTTGCTTGAGGTTTCAACAGATAGTTTTCCAATTTTGACAACACAATTTGTTAAAGAGGTTGTCCTTTCCCCACTTAACTGATTTCATCTCCTTGTCAAAAATTAGTTGATCATAGGTAGATGAGCTGATATCTGGGTTCTCAATTCTATTCCACTAATATGTGTGTCTGTTACAGACACTATCTTGACTACCATCGCTGTGTAGTAGGATTTGAGATCAGAGATCAGTGAGATGCCTCTCTTGTCTTGTTTCTCTTTTTTAAGGAGTACTTTGCTTATTTGGGACCTCTTTCCATTTCTAATTAAATTGAAAATTGCCCTTTCATCTCATTGAAAAATTTATTTATTTATTTGACATTTGTATTGGGATTGCATTGAATTTCTAGATTGCCTTTGGTAGAACTGTCATTTTCACAATATAGAGTCTTCCTATCCAAGAGCATGGTACATTTTTCCATTTCTTCAGGTCTCTTCTTGTTTCTTGTAGTAATGTTTTGTAATTTTCTTTGAATAGGTCTTTCATGTTTCTAGTTAGATTTCCTCCCAAGTATTTAATATTGTGGTTAACTATTGTAAAGAATATTGTTTTTCTTAGCTCTACTTCTGTATTCTCTTTGTCGCTGTAGAGAAATCCAACTGATTTTTGTTTGTTGATCTTGTATCCTACCATTTTGCTGA